TGTATCTTCTTCCTAATATCATCCTGTGAAATTTCTTTAGAGCAAAAATTATAGCAAGTCCTTCCTTTTCAATTTAGCGTTTTCCCGTATTTGTCTAACTTACTGTTTTCATTGTACGGTCTTCGAATTTATGAGGCAGGTGTGGTACCGTGGCCGATGAGGATTCGGGGTGTTGGCCGCTCACTTGAGGGGCTTACACATCCTGATCCTTGCTGGTGGTATCACGGCTGCGCTTAGCTCGGACCGGCTCTGACCAGCTATGACAAACCAAAACTAGATTAGACTAACTCTGACCAGCTTGGACCAGCTATGACAAGCCAAGACCAGCTATGACTCGCTTAGACCAACTCTGACCAGCTTGGACAAGCTATGACCAGCTAAGACCAACGACCCAAGTAAAAACACTCGGGTCCCCACTTTAAAAACTGACCCTGTGTCACAACCTGACTCAGTGGGGGGTCAAGTAAATAAACCGTCTTCGAATTTATGGACTATGACCGCTCGTATGCTGCATTCCCTCACGTCAGGTACTACTATTATCAGTCGCTCCGGGTCGTAATGTTGTAGGACCGTAAAATTTAATGATTCTTTTTAAATCCCTCGAAAGCTTTATGACATTACGCCGACCAATTCTATTTTAGATCCTTTTCAAATAAATTATTCAGAGGTGCTTGCAAATTGTATATAAATATTAAATATTATAAATTATTCGCTAAATATTATAATTATTCGCTAGTCCAAGAAATGATTGTAGCGTTGCCACATTTGTCGGGGGCATGTCTTTAATAGCACTTGCTCGAGCGGGATCTAGTCTTCTTCCTTTATCGTCGAATATCTGACCTAAATATTTAATCTTGTCCAGAAAGAATTGACATTTTCGTTCACTGAATTTGAACCCGTTATCATCTAGGCTCTGAAATACTTCCTGAATCCGTTTTTCGTGGCATTCTTAATACGTATTTCATACATGTAACCGACAACACCATCTAGTCCAGCCTACATCATATCCATTATTTGCTGGAAAATCCCTGGGGCTACTTTTATATCAGAGGATAATCTTCTAAACCTGTACAGTACTTTATGCGTATTAAAAGTCAAAAACTTTTGGTATTCCTCATCCACTACGAATTGAAGATATGCCTCAGACAGGTCAATCTTTGAAAAAAAAAATACCGCCATTTAATCTGGCAAAACGTATGCTCTGGAATTGGTACAGGATATGAATGAGGTAGGAGGCAGTCATTCAATCCCGTTGAAAAATCTGCACATAACCGAATCTTAGTCTGTTCTTGTCTAATATAAACCGCTGGCGTGGTCCATTCTGAATAATCTATTTTTTTTCAATAACTCTGCGGTCCTCTGACCTGTCCAATTCGGTGTTAATAGACTCCAACACAGCAAAATCGAATCTTTCTTTCAGGCATAAACACTGGTACTACATTTTCTTTTAGATTAAAAAATGGCTTTGCCTTTTAACATTTTCACAATTCCACTCTGAAAATAATCGGGAATTTACTTTTTTTTTTACTTAACCCAATGCATCTTCAGCTGCAATAATGACGAACAATCAATTTTTCCACAGAATGAATTTATCGGCCAATTTCATAGTTCAAATAATTCTATCCAATCAACGCCTAGGAAATCTGTGTTGGTATTTTTAATACATAATCAAATGCTTTTTTAGTTTTACCCGCAAGAGCGATGTTACAGGTGATTCCCCTCCCTCACCAAAAAAAAAAAAAAAATTCATATCCAATATTCTTCTTGAAACTTGTCGATTATTTTCAAGTTAGGCTTCCCAAATCTTTTCCACGTTTGTTCATCAATAATTGTAATATCGCTATATAGTCTAATTCAAACATCACCATAGCGATATTCATTTGTACTGTCTCGAATTTTCTATTTTTTGAACTTTGCAAATTTTTTAGCTGGTAGTACTACTTTCAGCAAGTTAATTTGTGCATTTCCGTTGCTTTTCGACTTGCTTCTTTTGTGACCAGTCTTCCCACACTTAAAACATTTTTTTTGGTTTTAAATGGACAGTCTTTTCTGAGATGAAGCATACCACAGTCATAGCAAGGGTTAAGTTTTGTAGTATTTTTATTCTTGATTTTTTTCTTTTGGTACAGCTGCCTTTTTAATAATCTTTTTAGTTCTATCGTGACATTTTGCTCTATTTTCGCTTTATCATCCCTTAAATTGACAAGCTTTTGGCACTCTTTCGCAATAGTCTGTATCGTTATCTTTGAATCGTGTTCAGATTTTGTAAGTATTCGATAGCGTATTTCCGCATCTTTGATGCTGTCAGACCTTTAAGGAAAATTTAAATATATCTGGCTAAAATTCATCCAGTTTAGATTTTTCTCAGACACGGTTGACTTTACCGGCAGAGTTGACAAAATGTTCATTTACATCCCTAGTAAGGTTCATGCACTAGCAACTTGAATAAAACAGTGAGTTTTATTCACCAAAGATTTTCGATAATATCGACACTGTTTCGTGAAGTGACACTTTTTTTCGGGAGTCTTCAGCAAAATGCAGTTCAAGTATTTTTTAAAAATTCAGCGGGGACCATTTTCGTAAGAGAAGACATTTTTATCCGAGGAAATTGACGTATTGTCTGTGCCTTGCTTTTCCAGAATTGGTTTTATCTGTTCTTAATATTCAATCCGCGGCCGTTGCAATTGTTGTAGTAGTTGCTGAATAAATATCTTCAATTCAAAGTGAATTTTGTATTTCACCACCTGTTTATGCTAAGCGAGAGAAAACAATCATCCTTCGTGTAAATTCGAATTCTTCCCGACATTGTAATGGATTCCTTGAATTGAATGGAAATAACACAATTAAGACGAGTTGAAGTCCTCTTCTGGAGAGGTGTGTTCTTTTCCACAAGAGATACATGCATATATATATATATATATATATATATATATATATATATATATATATATATATATATAGATATATATATAGATATATATAGATATATATATAGATATATATGAAAAATTTCTCAGAGTTAACCTGTAGAAAAAGACAATATTTATAAAGGTAAAAGACAATAGGAAAAATGTAATAGTTGCCAACGCGTTTCGTCCAATGTGGGCTTTTTCAAGGGAAAAACGAAATGAATTTATTAAACAAAGTAACTAATAATAACAAAACAAAATGTCCTTAGCAACTGGAAGAATTTTCATACTTTTAACTGAAAATTACGTCAATTACTGTCACGTGTGGAGATATTGTTTTTATTGCTGTATTGACAGATTCAACCATTTTCTTGTATCAAGTAACCGTATTAAGAAATCAAAAGAAAATGGTTGAATCCGTCAATACAGCAATAAAAAACAATATCTCCACGTGACAGTAATTGACGTAACGGAATCATATTTTAAAAATGAAAATAATTACAATATATATATATATATATATATATATATATATATATATATATATATATATATATATCGTATTCAGAGCTATTTCAAAGGTACATATAATACACTCCAATATTCCCAAATTTTATAAACTTCTGGCACATCATAATAATAACTGGCCGCCCTGAGTAATGAAAGAAACTGTTTTGGCAGCTCTTAGCATCCATACCGATGCGCCATTGTTGATTTCTCCCACTGTTGGCAACCGCATGTCTCTTAGAAAGTAGAACCGTATTATGGATACTGAGAACGCCACATGGGAAATTAAACTCGGATATTATAACCAGAGTTCACTTACTCTGCAAAACAAACATGCGTCTCTTTTGAGGGGCTTCGGGTAAAGCCAAACTGTAGGAAAACGGACAGAATTAAAGACGAAATTAAGTTGCAACCTTAGACACGAGGAGAACAATGAAATGATTGTAAAGAAAGAGGAATTCCAAATCGAAAATTAAAAGATGAAAACAAAGATGAAATAACTATCGATTCTCTACATTTCTTTGTATATTTTTAATAAATATTAATAAATATATTTTTTAGATGTTGTACGGATCGCTATCGGTTGGATTAGTTAACAAAAATCCTACTATACATCCTTACTCTCCTCAGAAATTCTGCTACACTTTCTTACTCTCCTTAGAATTCTACCTGATGACAGTCAAACTAGATATAGTTTAAGCTTGGATTTACAATTCATCAAGTTTTGTAAGGTTATTACGTTGTCAAAAATAATTTCCGTTTTTGCTTCTCAATTTTATTTAAAAGTTAAAGGACAATTATATATTCACCATTATATGACTATAGTTATAC